CGTGGGCCAGACCCACTTCCTCAGATCAAATAGTGGAAGAAAACTGTCACAACCATATATACCAAAGGATACAATTAAAAAAAAGTGAACACATATGAAAATCGAAATTTGATTTGTCCTTTTCATGTGTGTTCACTTTTTTTTAATTGTATCCTTTGGTATATATGGTTGTGACAATTTTCTTCCACTATTTGATCTGAGGAAGTGGGTCTGGCCCACGAAAGCTCATCACCTATTAAACCATCTTGTTAGTCTTTAAAGTGCTACACAGTCCTGTTTTTTGTTTCAGCCAGTATCTAAGGCATTGATGAAGATATTGAACTGAACCAGTCCTCAAACGGATCCCTGCAGAACCACACTTGTTATGCCCTTCCAGCATGACTGTGAACTCTTTGGAAATTGTTATCCAACCAGTTATGAAACCGCCTTGTAGTACCTCCCTCTATGTTGGATTTCCCTAGTTTCTTAATGAGAAGGTCATGCAAGACTGCATCAGATAGATGCCATACTCAAGCAGGTCATGCAAGACTGCATCAGATAGATGCCTTACTCAAGCCTACCACTTCCCCATTATCTGCAAGGCTTGTTATTCTGTCAAAGAAAGCTATCAGGTTGGTTGGATGTGATTTGTTCTTTACAAATCCATGCTGACATGGATTGTAAAGAGCAAATCATCACCTTATTTTATCTTCCAGATGTTTGCAGATGAATTCCTTAATTATTTGCTCCATTTTCTTCTCTGGCACAGAAGTTCAGCTGACTGGTCTGTCCTTTCCTGGGTTGTTCTTCTTTCCCTTTTTATAGATGGGCACTCGCTTTGCCTTTTTCCAGGCGTCTGGAAGCTCTTCTGTAGTCCATGCCTTTTCAAACAGCTCATAGCTCGGTTATCTCTTCAGTCAGCTCCTTGAGTATTCTAGGACGGTGGCTTGAAGAGGTCTCACTCGTCTGTCGTGTTTAACTTGTTCTTTTCCTGTTTTAACTTCTGAACCTACCCCGTTTGCACTGCGATTTGTGGTCTGAAGTCACCAGCGTGGTATCCTGACCAGAATCTTACTCTGTTCCGTGGTGATCACCGTTCAGCTGGGGTGGGTGGGTGTATGCGTGTGTGCGTGCTCGCTCGCTCGCTCTGCACTGGTGGCCAGCCCAGCAGACTGCAAGAGAGCCCCCAAAGACCACAAAGTCAGACAAGGCTCAAAGGCACCAGGCCAGGTTTATTGTCAAATGAAACCCGGTCCTAGGATTCAGCTGACTCTACCAGGCCACTTACACATATAAGCCTGTTGCAAGGGGGTAGCTCAGTCAACAGTGGGAGGTTCCACTGCCCCCTAGGCCGGACAAAAACAGTCCCTCCAAGACCCACCGTTATACACAGGTACAAACAAGTTACACCTCACTCCTGACGGATCAGCCTGCCCCCCTCTGACGTTACCTGGGTACCACCTTGCACCGATCAAAACATCTCTAGCCAGTGTGCTGTCGAGTTTGACCCTGGGTCAGTAGGTCCCTGTTATAGGTCCAAGATGCTTCTTAATGAGATGATGTTACCACCCCTCTGGAATGTGCATATGTAACTAGGGTTGCCAGATGGTTTCAACAGAACTACCGGACACACGTGACATGACACCACAATCGACATGACATCTTATCTAGAAAATACCCAGCAGTTCTATTTTCTCATTTTGTTTCCCGAAAGCTTAAATATTGGACTGTCTGCTTCAAAACCGGCCCCCTGGCAATGCTATCTGTAACTGCCACTGGGTGGATTTGAACCTGGGACCTCTGTGTGGGTTACGTATACGGCCTGTGCCTGGTGCCAGTTAGTGTTTGCACTATTCATGCCAGATTCTGTTAGCAGGGCCTGTCTCTTGCTCCCAGCTTCACTTAGCTTTATAGTAACCTAGGCCTCACACCAGGCCTGTGGGTTATGCCTTAGGCCCTGATCTTACTACAGCATTCACTGTGGTAAGCGTCCAGTCACCACCAACCTTCTTGGTGGAAACAGAAACAAAGAAGTCATTAAGCAATGGGCTTCAATTGCAGCAAGGGAGGCTTAGGTTGGACATTAGGAAAAAGTTCCTGTCCAGGTGGTGAAACACTGGAATAAATTGCCTAGGGAGGTTGTGGACTTTCCATCACTGGAGATATTTAATGGCGATAGAAATGTAGCCGTGTTCGTCTGGTGTAGCTGAAGCAAAATACAGGGCTATGTAGCACTTTCAAGACTAACAAGATGGTTTATTAGGTGAGGAGCTTTCGTGGGCCAGACCCACTTCCTCAGATCAAATAGTGAAAGAAAATAGTCTGAAATAGTTTGAAAACCAGTATCTATGGTTGAGACTATTTTCTTCCACTATTTGATGTGAGGAAGTGGGTCTGGCCCACGAAAGCTCCTCACCTAATAAACCATCTTGTTAGTCTTTAAAGTGCTACATAGTCCTGTATTTTGCTGGAGATATTTAAGAGCAGGTTGGGTAGACATGTATCAGGGATGATATTCTAGTTGGTGCTTGGTCCTGCCGCAAGGGCAGGGGACTGAATTTGATGACCTCTCGAGGTCCCTTCAAATTTTAGCACTCTATGACGTGTTTCTGCCATTTCTGTATTTTTCCGTTTCCTGTTCTTGGTCTTCCTCTTGTTTCTACTATATTTGTAGAATGTTTTCTTGTTATCCTTTATGTCTCCGGTTAGTTTGGGTGCGTTTTGTGCTTAGACCTTTCTAATGTCACCTCTACAGGCTTGTGTTATTTGCTTATATTCGCCCTTTGTAATTTGACCTTGTTTCCCCGTTTGATAGGACTCTTTTTTGATTTTTAGATCATCCAAGATCTGGTGAAGCCAGGGTGGTCTCATACCATGCTTCTAATCTTTCCTACGCAGTGGGATAGTGCCCTTAATAATGTTTCTTTGAAAAACTGCCAACTGTCTTCAATTGTTTTTCCTCTTACACTTGCCTACCCATGGGTTCTCACCTAAAATCTGCCGCCTTTGCTGTCGGTCCTCCCACCCTTCCTTAGAATCAGGAACTCTATCCTTTCACGATCACTTTCATTCAAGCTGCCTTCCGCTTTCAAATTTCCAACCAGCTCCTCCCCGTGTGTTAAAATCAAATCGAGAACTGTCTCCTCCCGGTAGCTTTCTCCACCTTCCGAAATAAAAAAACGGTTTCCAATGCAGCCCAGGAACTTGCTCGATAATCTGTGCCCTGCTGCGTCGTTTTCCCAATAGCTGTCTGAGTAGTGGACGTCCCCCATCACCACCAAGTCCTGTGCCTTGGATGATTTTGTGAGTTGTTTTAAAGAAGCAAGGGGGAAGGGGTAGCTCAGTGGTTTGAGCAGTGGCCCTGCTAAACCCAGGGTTGTGAGTTCAATCCTTGTGGAGGGGATTTGGGGCAAAAATTTGTCAGGGATGGTACTTGGTCCTGCTGTGAAGGCAGGGGATTGGACTCAATGACCTTTCAAGGTCCCTTCCAGTTCTAGGAGATAGGCAATCTCCACTAATTTGTTTATTTAATTTAAGCCTCATCCACCTCTTTTCCCCCTCCTGGTTTAGGTGAGCCGGAGTAGACCTCACTCTTGTTTGTTTCCCCTTTAAACCTTACCCTGAGACGCTCAACAGTCCGTGTGCTATTTCCATCTCAGCCCAAGTATGCGCATTTTTAATATCTAAGGCAACACCTCCTCCCTTTTTTCCCCCGCCTGCCCTTCCTGAGCGAGCTGTACCCTTCCCAGGAGCGGCCCGAGACGAGCTGCCAGCAACTGGCGCCCTAGGTGAAATGCGCGATCGGCGTCCCCGCCTCCAAAGCCCTCAACAGCCGTTTATCTTGGCGCCCTAGGCGACCGCTTAGGTCGCCTGTATTGACGGGCCGCCCCTGAGC